TGCATCATCTCATGCAATTTCCTGTTTCATTTCTGAAGAGCACTTTATACCCTTTTTAGTTTCCATCATTGTACTGAAAATTAGCTTTTCCTTTAAATGCTTTGTTAGAAATAAAATTTAGTTTTAAATGGAATACGAGACGAGGAATTACACAAGAATTGTGCTCCATGAACAAGCAATTTAAGGGTTTCCTCGTGGGATGGTGCGATTTCTCCTACATTCAATCAATTTGTTCTAGATTTCTTAGGTTGGTTCTATCATTTTTTGTGTTTTTTTGTTAGATAATTGCTCTTTTTGAGATTTAACTTGACAATGATCGCTTTTTGAAATAGTGTTTTGTAGGTTTTTAAAGGAGTGTCTTCTTCCAAAGTCCCTTGAAAAGAGTTGACGCATTATGGCTGGGATGGATGACGATGTATCTGCATTTGATGACTGGTTGCCTTCAAGTATCAGCCCAAAAACACTTTTTTCAGACGATTCATCGCAAAAAACAAACGATGGTTCTCTATCAGAGCCAAGAAAGCCAGGAGTTGTTGTCAATGATAGTAACCAAGATTGTGCGACTGGAATCCAGGTTTCAGAAGAATATTCGACAGAATTGAACACCTATAATGTGCCAAAATCCAGCACTCGAGGTGCATTGTCTAAGAGAATTGCTGGAAGAGCTGGCTTTGGAAATTTAACCCTTGATACATCACAGATCAGGAAAACTAGCTTTGATTCCCCATCCACAAATGATCGCTCCCCTTTAATTACCATTCCTCCGGGTTTAAGTCCAACAATGCTGCTCGATTCGCCAAATTTGGTTTCTAATTCTCTGGTATGTTTTTGACTCTTTGGTTCTGATGTTAAACTTTGTGAGGGGCTGTTTGGTAGCACACAGGATTTGATTTAAGTAAGATTTCGTAAATCTACTAAATCGGGATTTTGGAAATCCTCAAGAATACCATTAAATTTCGTGTGACTGTTTGACTATAGAATGGATTTAATGAACGGATTTTTCCTATCAAATTTCGGATTTCTTAGGATTTCGGAAATCCGGGATTTATCAAGAAAAGACGGAATTTTTCGTCTACAGCGGCTTTCATTTGCCGTGAGATTTGATTTTGCATTTTAGGCCGTTTGGCCGGATTTGGATTTCGCTCAAATCCGCCTCAAAACCGGCCTAAATCCAGCTACCAAACAGTCCCTAAGGGGTAGAATAGTTATCTATTCAATCCAAAATGCAGAATAGGTTATGCAGTTTATGCATTAGAGTTGAAATGTGATTCTGACAATTCCAATTTCCTGTTGATAAGGCCTAAATTCCATTTCTGTCCTTATTATCATAAAAAAGTTTGATTTTTATTCAACTAACAGATATTTTATGTGAGGATTTTGATTTTTTTTTAACGTTCCATAAATTTGAGTTTTCTGTTATGTAGATACGAACTCTTTTGAATCTGTAGAATCAGGGAAAGAAATCCTTCTTCATTCCAATTTTAACTAGTTATTTTATGTTCAATTTTTCTACTGTGCTTGAATCCTGAGACAACTAAAAACATGTTCCTCAATCAAACTTTTTCTATATCTTTTAACCTATAATTAGTTGCATGCTTACTTCCAGATTGAGCCATTTCGGTCTACTGACAAGATGGACTGCATGGTGTGTGATAATATTGGAGCTGCTATTAATGGTGACAATATAGATCATGCCACTGAAGATATTGATCCTCCATTACCTTCCTTTAAGCTGCCTCTGTTGCCTTTTTCATGTGCAGAATCAACGGTACGTGCTGGAAATATCTATAAAGGCTATATTTTCGCTTTGACAGGTCTTATTACAGCTTCGTTTGGGACGACTTTTTTACTGCTTTTTAAAATAGCTTTATAGTATAAAAATTAAATTTTTTTTACTAAAAAACAATAAGAAAGCCGTCCTAAATGAAGCCTACATCAAAACTTTTGCATTGTGCTTATGAATTATGAGTTATTCCAAAATGTCAAATGCTTACTACTTGAACCAAGAAATGCTGACTAAATTTCAAGTGTAAATGTACAATATAACATTATGAAGTCTTGTATTTTTGGAAAGGAAAATTATTATTGATTCATTTATTAATTTAACTTTGCTTGACAATTTTTTTAAGCATTTTTTTCATAAATATACAATGTTTTTCTTTTCGTATGACATGTTATTGAACTAATATGGCTAAAACTTCAGTCATTCATTTTATCTGATTATTAAAATCTCTGCAAATCTTCTCAGTCGTACCATAAAGCTGATCAGTTATGACAAGTATGTTTTATGCTGAAGTATTTTGTGTTTCAGATAGCCGTTAGTTTTCTGGAAAAATTTTGAGCTTGCACGAAATTCCATTTCTAGTGTTAGATGTGCAAAAAATTAAGAAAAAAATAAGAGAAATTTCTCTGGTGAGCTATGTGGCTCCGAAAATTCGCGCCCTGGCCTCCTCTCTGCTTCGGGGGATTTTAACAGATTAGGTTCTGGGGTAAATTTTGGGAAGGCAGATTGAGTTTGTAGATAAGACATTACATAGAGGTTTCGCCCTCATTTTGCGAGGACTTTATGATCTAAGTTCTGATTTCATATAGGTGCAAGCCCCTATAGTTAATTTCCCCTCCCAATAATGAGAGAGAACTTTCGATTAAGGCTAGTCGTCGATCAGATACGTAGAAATATGCGTTATTTGGTATATAGTAGCAGCATGGGCTTAAATATTTGAGAATTGATATTTAAATTTTGAAATTTTACCATCTTGCACTTCAACCGGATGGTGGGGGAATAGATGATGGACCCGATCATGATCCTATGATTCCATTGTCCCGGGTTATCATGATCCCTGGTCTACTTAGTCAAAGGAGGTAGTCGACCCAACCTGACAGAAGGATCCTTGTCGGCAACCATGGGTTGCTTCGTCCAAGGGTACCTTGTAGATCTTGGGGGGGGG